ACATTAGCACAGGAAATTGCCAGTTTTTGAATAAGTTATACACCAAAAACGTTTCTAAATGGATTGTTTAGATAAATGCTAATAGGTTCCCAGCATGGCCACAAAAACCTATTTAATTTGCATACTTCACATACTTGAATGATATCATCTAGGTAGCTAGGTAGTTCAGTGGTCAGTCGTAGTCGTGGTCGTAGTTGTACTCGTAACAACAAACAACACATAGAGCTTTACGGTTTGCAGAGTTCTTTACGAAGTAGCTGTGGGATGGAAACGATTGGAGCCCCAGCTCAGTTGCCTGCTAGCCCTTTGGCCTGAGCCGATTACTTGGCCACCTCTTCATCTTCCTCCTCAAATGAAGGTCGTCATCCTCATCCTGTTTACTTTGCAGGGCTGTTGTGAAGACCAAATGAGATAACATACATAAAAAGCTTTATAAACTTTAAAATTCTATATGAATTTATCTACATATACCATTACTTGTGACTCTAACTTATAGAGGAGGAAAGTCATTTAACCCTGTTTGCCTCAGTTTCCTCAGCTGTAAAAATGAGCTGGAGAACGAAATGGCAAACCATTCCAATATTTTTGCCAAGAAAACCCCAAATGAAGTCATGAAGAATTGGACACAATGGAAAACGACTGAACAAATTTTCCTCTAAAATGTTTAAGACACTTTGAAGAGAATTTTAAATGACAGTTTTCCTGTAACACTATTTTCCTGGTTGCTAAGCATTGCTGTGGTTCCATCTTTTGTTATCTTCCAACATTTATTCATAATACTTTGGCATACAGAATAGAACAGGGCATATCAGTATTTTTTTTAGGACAGTTGGGATTAAGTGTGATTTGCCCAGGGTCACTCAGCTAGTAAGTGTCAAGTGTTTGGTCTGAGGCCAGATTTGAACTCAGGTCCTCCTGACTTCAGGGCAAGCGCTCTATGCACTGTGCCACCTAGATGCCCCATCAATAAAATGTTTAAATGACTGCTTCTTAAACCATAGTATTCAAATTATGAGACCTATTTTTCTTGCTGTTTGGGAATTCTGTGAAAGTAAAAAACATTTTCCAGCTTTTTGTTCACTTGTAAGTCATCACACCATACTAGATGGAAAGCAGGTGTTAGAATGGGGAAAGACTCGAGGCAAGCAGACCCGCCAGCAGCCTCCTGCAATAGTTCAGGCCTGAGGTGATGAGAGTACTCTAGCATGTCAGCAGTACCAGAGAAGAGATGGCATGAGTTTTTGGGGTTGAGATGGCATGAGACAGACTCTTTGGAGTTGTTTTTTGTTGTTGTTGTTTCATTTTTATTGACTTGTTTTATCTACCTTTTAATTTATTTTGAAGGCATTATACTAAATACAATATTAAAATTCATAAATATTATACCTAATAAATGTCTATGGTTTTCAAGACTACTCTAAAGTGAATTGTTTTCGGATTACTTTAGATATACATTAGGTCACTAATATAAAAAATGTTTTCTAATAAATGAATATTATATAAGGAATAATTTGGAAGAAAATGTTTTGATCATTGTTTTCCTGACATTTGTCATCATTCCAGTAATTTAATAGTTGTCTTATAATGGTGGTCCCTGCTCCCAAATGGGAGAAGGGGAAATCTGATACTGAGAATGTCATATTAGGGAAGATTCGAGATTTCCAGAGGTAAATATCAACCCAGAAATATGTATGCAGAAAACCACTCATAAGTTTAAAAAGTATTACCAGAGGCTAGTCTAATTAATAATGCTTTTAAATTTTGTTATAAAAGATACTCTAAGGCTTGTTCAGTTGTGATAATGATGATGATAAACATTAAATAAGAAGTTACAAAATATGTGACCAACCAATTGTTTCTTCACTTTTTTTTTTTGGAGCCAGATCCTATAATTTTTTTACCTCTTTGCTTTTGCAGTAATGTTTAAAAGCATATAGCTTGAATTTTTTATGAGTCATTTTAAACAATTTTTGAAAGATCTAGTATCAGAATTGGGAATATGTCAACATAAAGATGTGATTTTAATTATAAATTAAAGATAATTTTGCCAAAGAAGTAGTTAACCAGGTAAAGTTAAACAAGATAAGATGAATTATGGCTATTTTATAGAATAATGACAGTCTTCATTTTAAGCTACAATGTAAAGTGCTTTATCTTGAGATTAGGTATTGTGGCAGAAGCTAAAACTGCCTTTTTTTTTCTAACAGTGCCAGAATCCAACCTCCTTTTCTTTTTGCGCTAACAAGACTGCTTTACCACCACAGCCCCACTCTAAGTAATTAAATCAATCCTTTGTACTTACCGTATTCTCCTCTAGTGACGGTACTAGATCTGATTATATGCTTCATGCATATTCAAAGTACGGCACTGACAGCTCTTTAATGAGCTCTTACTTAATCAGTACGAACAATGTTCATCTTGTTCTTTTTTTCCTCCTGCATTAGAGCTAGGAACAGTTGGGGAAAAAATGAAACATCCAGCATTCATTTGAAAAATATATTGTACTTTGAAAAGTGTCTAAGCTGGGGAAGTTGCATTCTGCCCTTTAAAAGTCTGATGGACAAATTGGATTACTAGTATTGGATTAAATAACAAATGGTTAGAGGAGAAATGAGAAAAGCTCACTGTGATCACAGGCTTTAATATTTTTTGTTACTTATAAAGCTGAAGGGGTCTTTAACCAGTTATTAAAGTCAGGATTAATTTGTAATGGTCCAACTTACTGACTTTAAAAGCTTTTTTTAATTTTTAAAAGCCCTAAAACAATAGTGGAATCATGTACTCACAGGGTAAAAAAAAAATTGTTTACAATCATTAGACTTTTTATAGGTTCCTGTAAGCTTGTACTGGTTCAGATAAGGATTTGGGGCATACTGTATTAATTTATCTTCAAATTGGGGGTGTTGATTTTAATAGTCTGTAGTGTTTTGGGGTCCAGTAAACAATCTCACATTAGCATTTTTAATTTTTAGACATTTATTTTCATTCGAAACTTGGAAGATTAATAGTCATTTTGTTTAATTTCTTTGAGTTAGATGACAATTTTATTCTTATCTAAAAATCAGATTATGAATTTAATTGAGAATGACAGTACCACACCAGTATTATTTTTCTCAAGGAAGCCATATCCCATTGAAGAAAATGATGCTAATTTAAGAGTGGGTTAGCTGTTTCGTTTAGGACTGCTTGAAAGCATCAATTATGGGTTAAGCCAAAGTTTCAACAAAGTTTTCATTTATCTATGTTTTTAGTCACTGTTTCAGTTATAGGCACAAGAATTAAGTCTGTAGTGAGAAAATATATCACAAAATCTATAGCTATTAATATTGCACCCAAGTGTCATTTTGATGATCAAAAAGGCCTTCACCAGGGTACAATTGGCCTTTTTCCAAATTGCAAGCTTTTTCTCAGCTTTTTCTTTTTACTCTTTCTTCTTTTGTTGCTGCCCAGGGATTTGTGCCTATCGCAGCCTATATCACATGACCAGTGTCAAGGCATCACATGGTCCAAAGTGAATGCAAAACCAGGAGCCCTAAAAGACAGATTAAAAATACTGTAAAACAATAAAGACTTTGTTCAGTCTCTAAATGATTATAGCCTACGTATCCTTCATACTTTTACATTTTAACAGTATTTAATGAATTTACCTGTTTTCTTTATTCTCCTAGTAGCAGATAACCATTTTATGTCAATCTAAAATATATGTTATACTTATTTTTCAGGTGGAATTATGATTGGATAGTAGAAAGCAAAAACACTTCAGATTCCATTTATGTGCTAAAATGTTTTCATGTTTAAAATAAAAAAGCAGAATCTTATAGAATACTAAATTCCTTGAGATTTTCTCTTTTTAATCAGACACTTCCATTAACCCTGTAAATGCTATGTTGAAGTTAGACTGCAGAATTAAATGTTAGCAGAGCAACGTAATTATTTGTCTTGCTTTGAGAATTTGTTTGCCAAAAACCTTTTCCTGGTGAAATTTTATGCTTCAAGGCATGAATTGATGCCCTCTGAATCTTAGAAAGAAAATTCCTTCTCACAGAATTGTGAATTTGACTAGATGCCTTTTCACACAAGTGGCAGGAAAAAGGTCCTGGAAGAGTCCACCTTTCTTGTAAATATTAGTACTGCCTTTTTCTAAAGGGAAAATATGAGGCTGCATGTGTCCTGGTGCAAGGCGGGGGTGAGAGTGGGGGGTCCTTCACCCTCAAATATATCTGTTTTGTAAAAATGTAACATGTTTAATAACTCATTGCATCCTTAGGGAAAGAATATAAGAAATATTCAATTTGTATGTCCACATTTGGATTTGTCTTTTTTGCTTAGATCATTTATTCAAATGTTTTCTGATCTACTGATATCTTCATTAGAAAATCTTTACTCACAGATCACTAATATTTCTTCTTAATTTAAACTTTATTTTCCCTGATTAGATGTACTCTGTTATTGGTACAGGGTAAAAATGTATATTATAGGTTTACTTTTGAAAAAAAAAATAAGACCAAGTAAATTACTACAGATAGCGGGCTTACCATAATCTCAGCATGTCCATGAGCTTCCTTTCACTCTTGTACTTCTCATAATGATTTTTAGTTGGGATTTGGTTGTTGTGTTGGGCTTTTTTTTTTTTTTTTTATTGTGACCATATGTCTGTCAGCACCACGAGTTCCTCATTGAAACATAATAACAATTAAGCCTCTGGGGAGGATTTAAACGGTAGAACACTTTGTTTACTGTACTTAGTGTTAATATGATCTGTAGGTATGTTAAAGGGGAGTGAAAATATACATGCTGAAATTTATCAGCTTTGGAAGATAGGCTTATTATTATTATTTAAACATGAATTTTTCAGCTCTAGGTCTCTAATCTTCTATTGCTAACAGTCTAAAATATAGTATTAGATCAGCTAAAATTAGGTATTACATGTTTAAAAACTGACGCTGAACAATGCTATGGCTTATGTAGATATTAAGAGATAAATCGTCCTGTGTTTATAGGAAGGAACACAGAAGAAGAAGAAGCTATGATGCAAGAATGGTTTATGTTAGTTAATAAGAAAAATGCATTAATAAGAAGAATGAACCAACTCTCTCTTCTGTAAGTTCTCAAGACAAAGCTTGATTTTCCTACAAAGTTTGACAAAATCCTTGCTATCACATTTTTGTTTTCACTTACATTTTGTTTTAATTAGATTTAATTTTTTTATTTTCTCAGGTATGATATTTTTATCAGTATATTTAACATATCATATGTTTGGTTACATGACAGACTGGCTTCTAAACATAAATATTAAAATAGTGTTGTCCATAGGAAAAGATATGGATAAAAACTGAAAATAGGATGGTCTGAATATAAGAGGCAAAAGAGTAGTAAAATAATTTGTGTTCAAGGAGAAGTTTATTTATCTAAAGAAGAAGTTTGGTTTATAAGAGGAAAAGATGAATTTTAAGTTAATTTAAAATATTTTCTTAAAGTGTTTTTAATATCAAAATTTTATCAGGAAGTGAAATTATACATAACCTGTACTACTGATGATATGACCATATACATTTCAGAAGAAAATGCTAATGATTTAAAAGTAAACTGTGCTCCTAAAGAGGCAGCATTAGCACAGTTAACAGGGTCAGAGGAGGAGTGGAGAAAATATAAACAGTAAGCATTTTTAGTATCTGGCATTTCACCTGCTCTAGGCCCTCTTTCTCTCCTCGTTCTTTCTGCTTATTAGTAGTGTTCTTATAGGATGCCACCTAGTGTAGAGATGAGCTTGCTCACATTTCTTATTTTAAGGAAACAGCTCATTTTCATAAATGCATTCCCATACCTCAACTTGATTTTTAGAAGTGAAGAGACAATGTTTTCTAACCCACAATTTTGTCTTTATGACATTAAAATCGATACAAATAGGACTTCTGTGCATCTTAATAGATATTCTTAGGTTAAAAAGTTTATTAAGAATTAGGGAAAAAATATTTTAGCACCTTCAGCAGCACAAAATAGGTTTTTTTTTCCTATAACAGTCTACATAAAGTCTGTAAGAATCAGCTTACTTATCTGCAAATTGAAATATGCCTTTTATTGTGGAAGAATGACAAGAACAGCACCAAGTGATGAAGGTTTTAGGTTTCTGTATCATTTGTTTGGAGTAGCTTAAAGTTAAAGAGAAAAGTCAGCTATGAGTCCTCAAATCAATGTAACTTAAAGGTCCTTTTAAGTGTTTAATGATTTAGTCATTAGCATATTGATGAACTTTCTAAACTTGCCTAGGGAAAAAGAACATGACCTGGAAAGACGCTACGAGCTGTTGAACCGGGAGTTGCGGGCGATGCTTGCAATTGAAGGTAAGAAACATTTTACTGAGAAAAAATCAGCCACTTAATACAAAGGCTAAACTATCATAGGATTCAGTTCTAAAACAAAATTCAAGCATCAATGAACATTTATCTGTACTGGGTGAGTCTATAAGGTCATTCATTATGAAGATACAGCAGTTACCATATAAATGACTACCATATAAATGACTAAAAGACACAAACCTAAGGACCCTAATTCAGATAGATTATTCATTTATGGTATCTATTGTGTTGTTATGAAGTTCAAAATCATCATAACATCCAACAAATTTTAAATTCTATAAAACAGAAAATCTAAAGCAAGATTAACATTATACTCATTTGCATTTTATTTACACTGGGAAGAGTGCTAAAAGATGCATCAGGTTGATGTTTCATATTAGTATATTCAAAATTTCAACATAATATTTCATTAGTGTCAAGAAGACTGAAATAAACTGTCTTCTATAAGTCTTGAGAGTCTAAATACTAAACCTAAATGAATACACAGAGAAATTGACATAGGAGATTAAGTAAAACAATCAAACATTTTTCATAACTCTTTTAAATGAATTATATTATAATCTTATGGATGATTTGTAATATAAGTAAGCATCAGCCAGTGTTTAACCTATTGCTTACCACATCTGGGTTTTTTTTAAGTAAGTGTTTTATAATACTGTTCTTATTCCTCTCAGTTGGAAATGTTGTCTTACAGTTCAAAGATGTCTGCTTAAAAGTTAATCCTTTGGACTTTGTAAAATGGACCTTTTGTCTAATCAATGCAAATTGATTTTCCTATTCTGTATTGACCTTTTAACCCTTTGACTGTCTATGGTAATTTCTTTCTTCACCTGATAAGGTACCTGATCCATAATAAATCAATTCTAATTAGTTTAGAGACTTCACTGGAAACCTAAGTTTCTAAGAGAAAGCCATGAGAAGTCTTGTACTTTTTGAATATCAGAACATTAATTGCCACATTTTCATTGAATGATGAAGATAAATAAAATGCCTAGGGTATACCTACATTTACTTAATACTTTTATTCTTTTCGAAGCACTTTCACGTCAATTAGCTCATTTGATAAATATAATTGGAAAGAAATTAAGCCCTTATTTAGGAAATCAAATTTTATTTATTTACATGATTTTTTTATAATGATAAGATCCTTAAGATAGAAATCAAAATGCTTCACATAGTGTAGATAATAGCAAAAGTGTAAAAATAGACACAAAAAAATCCTAATTTTAAATGGTTTTTTGAAGTTTATTACAGAAATAAAAGAACACAAAGATGATAAATTTTATTTGTTCTTTTTTATTAAGAATTTTTGTGGTAAGTCACATAATTGCCAATGGACTTCACATAACCTTTAGAAGAGATTAGAAAGTTAAATAGCCAATTGAAAATTCAGTACAGTAAATAGTCAATGCATTTATTTGGGGGGTGTGTGTGTGTGTGTGTGTGTGTGTATGTGAAGTATAATTCTACTACAGCCTCTTTGCATGAATTCTGATATATTTTGCATGCATCTTCCTCTAAGCATAATTGTGCATGATCTCACATAGCAGTTGACCATATAAGATCAATAGGAACTATATGTTCTAAAGGCATTCTACTATTCCTATAGGATATGAAAAGTTATCTCAGCATTGTACTGAGCACAAACAACAATGTCATCCCAACCCACCAGATTTGCAAGCTAAATAACCCAATACTTTTATACAACTGGAATAAAAAATAGAAAATTCTTCCCCCTCTCCCCATTAGAATAATAGAACAATGAGCTTTCTTTACTTTTTAAAACTTGTTTTATTTACATAATACCAGTTCCTGAGTGTTTTTTTAATGTATGTTACTGTTCCACATATGTGACTGTGCTTTAAAAAAAAACAGAAAACAAGGAACCTATCAATGAGTTTTCATCTTTAGTTGTTGACAAGAAGAGAAAAAGTATCAACCTGCTGATTACAGATAAAGCCAGTTTATTGAATGTTCTCCTGCCCTGCTAATGTGAGCAGTGTGTGGGCAGTACTGTCATCATGTAGAGGTGTTGACCATTGTAAGGTTCAGTGGTGTGAAGACCCTGTCCTCTTAGCCAACTGTTCAAATGGGTGCACGTACAGCTGAATAGCCTTTTGGAGTGTTAAAGTACTTCACAGAGAAAACACATGAATAGGCAACACTGTTTTTGTTTTTGTTTGTAAGTATGTTCCTAGCTTCCTTTTCCCTCCCTCCCATTTAACTGTGATGGCATGGCTTAGCAATAAACTGTAGTCTTTACATATGAATATGCTACTGAAACTGCCTATCCTAAGAAATGTGTATAAGGAGCATAATAAGCCTGGTTCATTAAAAGAAATATAAATTTATTGGATTGGAAGCAAAAATAAAGTGCAAATTATAATCATTCTACTAAAAGGTCATAAGTACTTTGATTATTTCTGAGGTGTCAATTTCATATCCGGATTCACCTCAAGCTGATGAATGGGCTTTAGATACTTTACCTATATTTTTTGTTCCATATTATTTACTGCCCCCTTGGGAAAGATAAATTCATTTCTGCCCACATTGGGGTGGGCTTTTAAAAAGTAGAGCGTCCATTTCCTGCACAAGAGATGGTTCTTCTTTAGGGTTTTGTACAGCTTGATTTATTCTTGGTGTATAGTTTGAAGTGGGTGCTCTTCTAAAAGGATTTATGCACAGGTTCACTATTTTTGTAGTTATGGTTTATATGATAAGCTTTTTATATTTAAAATCAATATGTAATCCTGTGGAGGAGCTTATCCCCTAAAACCCCATTTGTAAATCTATTTTAGCTTTGTTACACAGCACAGCCACAGTATTCCATAGATTGATTAGGTTCAGCAGTAGAATCCTATCAAATGGCCTGCTCTGATGATGATGCAAACTCTTTCAGGATTGCTAGTTGACTGGAACTAAAGATAAGACTTGACTGCAATCCCCCAATGTGCTCTTTACAAAACTAGTGTTAATTTTCATCAAAGTCTGAGGCTTATTTATAGTGGCAAGGTTGAAGGTTTACTACAACTTTAGGCCCTTTATATTAAAGTATTTATATGAAATACCCTTGCCTTTTTTTAAAGGTAAGTGGTCACTTCAACAAAGGTACAGGCAATGTAGAACTTGTATGTGAATTATTGAAAATACGTAGATTTCCAAAATTGAAGCAAAAAGCCAGATTTTTGCTGTTTAGTACATGTGTATGTTTAGCAACTTAATGTAGATAGATATAAACAGTATTTCCTTATTTCACAACTTTGGCTCAAATGTAGCATCAATATTTAATCCTATTTTGTTGAGAGAGAATATATAGCTTTTTTTAAAGTGATGCACTAGAATCTTTAAAGTAATCACACTCTGTATTGTAGTTTCTCAAAGTCATAGTCAGTGTAGGTACCTATGACTGGTATTATTGGGAAGTAATCCTTTCTTTAAATGCATAATAGGCCATTTATAAATTTACATGCATGTACTTTTCAAAATATTTCAGAACTTCTACATGAAGCTGTTTCAAAAGGGCTTTTTCCTTATTGACTTTAGCTTAAAGAAATAGATTAGTTTTTGTTCCAGAAATAAAATTGAATTTATTCCAATATAAAACACGATGAAAAGTTTTTATTTTTCACACTAACAAAGATATGAGTTCTTACCATCTGTGAGAATGCTTAAATGTGCATTTTTGCTCCCTGCACTAGTTTTAACATTTATTTCCTACATAAATCAATTTAAGTATGTTTTTTGGAGATCATATTTAATATGCAGATATGTACTTGACCATACTGGAAAACCCCATTAGTTATACTGAAACAGTTTGGATTCTAACCTCATCCTAAAAGTAATCAGCTTTACTTGTATTCAAAATTTCAAAGAAAGTACAATGTTTTAAAGGTTTGTGGAAAATATCATTGCTGAATAATGAAAAATTGAAGACTAGAGAAATTATCAAATAATAGATAGTTGGGGGTTGTTTTTTAATTTAGAAGAGTTTTTTCTAAACTATCTTTAAGTTTCAAAATTTTATTTTTAAAAAAGAATCCTTACACTCCTTATTGTAATCTGGAGCATTAAAATTAATGGTAGGTGACAAATCAGTGAAGTTCATCTTTGTTTCCCCAATTACTTAGCAGAATGCCTTGCATATTGTTGGTACTTATGTTTACTGAATCAAAGAAATAATTAATTGTATATATTATGTGTTGTTTCCTTGTCATTGATACTAAGTAATACATTTCTTAGCAAATGCTTGTAAATAGAAATTACAGTATATATTTTGTTACCCTTCTAGAAATTACCTGAAATTTTTCATTTGGTTATATTTTGAAGTCTGTAAAAGAAAATAGACTTATTTTTCAACAGGTGTACCTGGTATAATTCTCACAAAAAGATCTAGACCAGGGTCACCAAATTGTAAATGAAAGTTTACAGTAGTTGTCATTACCACAAGTGTAAAATGGAAAAAGATAAACACTTATCAAAACTGGTAATCTTTCTTATTTGTCTGGTTTTAGTTTCTAGTACATGTTGGTTAATTACAGATAAAACTGGGTTGGGTTTTTTTTTTTATCATATTCATGTTTCAAAAATCAGCTATGCAGAATTCAGCTTCTTTATAGTTAGGAGAGCTTGATTTATAACTGGAACCGTAATTTTATTAAATATTCTTTTTAGTATCTGACCATTTGAATCAAAAGAGCAAAGTGGTAAATGACATAACATTCTTGCAGGTTTACTATGTTTCTTTTTTTTTTTAATTAAAAAAATAAATCTCAGCAAGTTAACCTAGGTCATATAACTAAAAAAAAAAACTTTCAGCAGTAATGCTTATTTTCCTTAAAAAAAACTACTTTCCATTTGTAGGAGTAAAATGATAAGGTTATTTTATATGTTTGTGTACTGTGCATTGTATATGTAATATACATTCTATTTTTATTTATGTACATCTGAGCTTAGAGAATAAAAGAAATAATGATAAAAGTAATTAAACATTTCTGGCTTTTGCTGCTATTCTAACCTTTATTGCATGATGATGCATCTAATTTTTAATTTGTAAATACAAGACAGAATTCCCTCTAGCACCACTTGCTTTCATAAGGCTGCTGAGCAGTTTGCTGTCTTGAATAAATTTTGCTTTGGAGGGGGGTCAGGGGGATTTGAACCAGCACATTCTTGTGTGGTTTGTGAAGATTCACATGGTAACCATTGGTGTGCATTGTTAGGTTTATCTGAATAAGCACCAGCCATGTGAGTTTTAACGTGATTGCCCAGGGCAATGGAGAGAGAGGAGAGAAAAACCCAAAAGGATTGCACACCCTCTTTCCTCTGTTTTTGGAAAGTGCTTTGGCGGAGGGGACACTGCCTGAGTCAGTGGCTACAGATTTTTTTTAAAGCTGGTGTCCTGTTTCCCTCTTGGTCCTCATTTGTTCTGCTATCTCCTTCATCATCTACTTCTTCTTTTCATTGTTTACCTTCCTAATGAGGGAGGCGGGGTAGACTGGTGGTTGATTGACAGCTACAAGCCCTTACGGTCTGTCCGGAGAGCAGTTGGCTTTGGTTTCACAAGGGCTTTAAATGTTAAATGTGGTCCCGTTTATGAAATGAAACTGCTCTTCTTAAAGGAAGACTAAAGACAAGAGAGGTTGGGAAATATTATAGGTGTTTCTCTTAAAAACTGGCACAGGCAAGCCTGCTGGGGGTGAGGGTTGGGAGGGGGAGCTACCCACCGGATTTCCCAGTGTTTTGCAAAGAATTTCAGGAGCAAATAGGTAGTTTCCCCTCTGCCAAAAAAAAAAAAAATGCTTTAAATTAAGGTCGCTGAACAAAACTCTTAAAAAGAATGCTCGCTACTATGCGTTTGAGAGCATAAAACTGCAGGGCAAATTTATTTTTTTACTTCAAAGAAAATGCTAATTAGCTCATACACTACTTTTAAAGTTATTGTGAAGCATATGGCGCCCAGTGTGAGCTACATCCAACGGCTAAAATAGAGTGAGGAGGAAATTAGTGAAGACTAGGCTGTTTAGGATGGGGGTTGATTGGGGGGGGCGCAAAGTTCTGAGGCAGATCTCGCAGCTTCTGAAAGATTTTCCGGCGGTTCTCTTACCCTGCCCAGCTTCCCAGGCCCCTCACCGCCACGTTGGTCCGCAGGGGCTGCCTCTCGAGGGTGTGGAAAGCTCCACTCCCCCGAACTTCATCTGGACTCAGGTGCGTCCCCAGCCTTGGCCTCCCGGCCACGCCCTCTGTCCAGAGCAGCTTGGATCCCGGCCCCAGCCACGTCGAACTGTAGACAATATTAAGAAAATCCATTTTTAGGGGAGAAACCTAATCACCTCTATCCACCGTGCTTCCTGATCTTACTAGAATGTCAGTAATTGTCCCAGAAACACTCATCTTCCTGAAGCAAAGCTCTAGAAGGCAGACATGAGAGAGGTAGAAAGGAGGAAAGGGTGGGAGAGCCTTAGCGTATGGAGGGCCAAAGCAGGAAGCTTGCTTGGGCTGCTGCAGAAGGCGTCGAGTGTAACCAGCCTCTTTTCCCCTGCCCTCAGACTGGCAAAAGACTGAAGCCCAGAAAAGGCGAGAACAACTCTTACTGGATGAGCTCGTCATCCTGGTGAACAAACGGGATGCGCTGGTCAGGGACCTGGACGCTCAAGAGAAGCAGTGAGTTTGCCCAGTGGGGAGGACATGATTTTTTGCCATCTGCTTTTAAAATGACCCAGAAAGTTTGTAGGAAAGTTCAGCCTCTAAAGTGACCAAAGCAGAGCCTCCAGAAGGCCCCAGGCCTTACTGCCCACCCTCCATTCTCTTTCTAAGGCCATCCTCTGCCGGGTTTGGGGGACCCGGGATGAAGGAGGGAAAGAGAGGTGTAGGAAAGGCATTTCTCAGCCTCAGTACTTGGGCATCACAGAGAATAATAACTGTATTTCCTATTTGTTGGAATTCCAGGGCCGAGGAAGAAGATGAACATTTGGAGCGAACCTTGGAGCAAAACAAAGGCAAGATGGCCAAGAAAGAAGAAAAATGTGTTCTTCAGTAACTGGGCTCTGAGACACTGAGAACCCTTCCCCGACTGTCATGTCAGTGGGGCCCAGACTAGAAGATGGAAACTTATTCTTGATTTAAAACTTTAACATTTTGTTTGGCCCAACTCTACTTCATCCCACTCCCCCTTTCCCCTCCTTCCTTGAAGAAAATCCCAATACTTCAAAATAGCCTTGTATCAGGATTTACTTGTGAGCTTGTCATTCTTTTGAAATTATGTGAAATAGATTTGCACAGAAACCTTGTAGGTGATGATTGGTATTGGAGATGTTTAAGAAGCTGTTCAAGGAAGAAGAATCTGCCTCTTTAATCTTTTGTTGGGAAGAAAAATTGAAAACAAATCTATTTGTTGTTGTTGTTGTTCTTGTTGTTGTTAGCATTGAGGGGGGAGGGGTAAAATGGGGATAGGAAAAATATGAATGATTTCATCTAGTCATACCATATGTATACTTAATATACTACCTAAATTTTATAGTTAGATCATATACAAGGAAATTATTAAGCTATGCTATATTTATCCATGTTTTCCTCCTCCAGTTGTTTTCCACTTTACTGTAAGCATAATAGAATTCATGCCCTCTGATTTGGTCAGAGAAAGGTCTTTTAACATATCGTGGAGAAAAGAACCCCGTGATTTGAAGATGTGCTATAAGGATGGAGCTAAATGATACATAAGTTTACAGAAAGTTTTTTCATTTGATGATGCACCATGTTTTCTGAATAATTATTTATTACACATAGCCTGATCCCTTTTCATTGGGTCTCAACATTGGCTCAAAAATGCTGTTAATATTTATTCTGTATCTATAGGAAGTCTGCCTTGCCACTGTGTGCAATTCCCCCAGTTAATGTTTTTTCTTCTCTAGTATAGCTCTATCATTTTTGTGAAATGGTTATCTGTTTATTTATTACAATACTGAATCATATATAAATTTTCAATAAAAGAATCTTTCTTACCTTAATGACTGACATTTTCTTCAATTCAAACTTTACTACTTTGGTTTGATTAGTAGTTTGTATAACCACAAGACTTAATTTTTTAAAAAATGAGCACCTTTTAACTAAAATTAAATGGTTTCAGCCTGATTACACTGTGCTCTTTTGACAACAAAATATAAATTTTGAAAGTCAGTCCTGTAGATTATATTTTAAAGCCTTATCCAGAGAAAGTATGATTCCTTTTGCTAGACGAAGGGTTCTGAATATTATTTACTGCACCTTTATGTTAATTTTTTTCTACTCATTCTAACAGTTTTCATTGAGTTTAGGACAGTTGAGTATAAGTGTTAACTTCTTAAAAATCTCTAGAGGTTGGGGATGACCAGTGGTAGAGTGAAGAAAGAAAACCTTTTGCAAGAAATCACAGAATTGGTGATTCTCTGTTAAGAGGGCTTTGTCACCCAGCCATCCCGCTACAGAGGTGTCCCACACAAAGGAAGCTTGTTCAACAAGTTTTTAGACTTGAAAATAATAGTATGTTTGAGTTTATCTTTTGGCCTGGTTGTCAAATGCTTCACAAAAAAATATAAATTATGTTTTTTAAAAAAACTGTATAGCTGTACTTCATCCATCCACAGGAGGTTAAGGGGTGGGGGGAGACTACAATAGCTGAATTAGCTCCTGTCAAGGCATATAAGGAAAAGTTTCTCAAAGATTTTTGTAATGAAGCAACATCAGATATTTGTGTTCTGTGTTGTGAGAAGAAAGCTCTGAGCCGAGGAGCTCCTGAACGAAGCTAATACCCGCTGCAGAGCCCAGCAAAGTCGAGGAAGAATAGCTATGGCCTACTGGACCCTGTTAGAAATTACTTTATTTTCCCTACCCAGATCGAGAGGAAAAAAACCCACAACATATTAAAAAAAAAAAACTTTTACGAACAAAAAAAAAATGTTTTACGAAGGTCAAAGTCTGAGTAAAAATCGCCCTGTCCCTGGGCCCTGGGACGTTGGAAAACCTTTCCGTGGCGCTTCCGCTGACAAAAAGGAATGAAAGGTCGTCAGCTTAAATTTCGGAATGGGATTTGGGTCGTAGTGGGGGAAAATGCGTCCCGAGACTCTCCAGAAGGAAGCCACTTGGTTTGTTCTTTATCATTTTAACCCTCACTCTCACCCCACCTCCCACCCTCATTCCTCCCCCTGTGCAGGCGGCTACGACTTTGAGCTAAAGTCCTGCCAGGGCCTGAGCAGAGTTCGTATTGGTGGGGGGTGAGGGAGTAGGAGTGGGGAGAACCAAGGTTGGTTAGAGAGAAGGGGCTGTTGAAGAGAGATTGGGACAAAAAGGCTCCTTCAGCCTCTCAGACTGGAGCTCTGAACATTCTTACATTCGAACATGATACTGGGCGTAAGTGCTAAGATGCAGGTTTTGAGAGCGCAAAGACGCTAGCCCGAGACAGCCGGGTGCGTCGGGCCGGCGACACCGCTAACCCCAGTTTTCTTGACAACATCAGTTTCCCCCAGCTCCCTGGACCAGGTGGTATTGGAGGGGTGGAAACCGGGAAAAGGCCTCCAGGGAAAACTCCGCCTCTGACCTGTCCCATAAGGTCCCTTGGGATCCGCGCCACCGGAGGGGGGGAGGGGAGAAATGAAGGGCTGGGGGAGGCGGAGAGACTAAGAGGAAGGAAGAAAATCTAGCGCCTGATCTCCCAGCATCCCCACCCCCACCCCGAGTAGACTCGGGCCCCCTTCACCCCCTCCCCTGCAACCTACAGCGGTTAGTCATTTAGTGGGGGAGGGGAGATCTTTGGCTCTGGGCTTGGGCTCCGGGGGTCGTCTAACTGATGGGAAAAAGACAATGTCGGTGAAGCCTGGTAGTGTGGAAATTTCTACCTCCCGAGTGGGCTCAAAGAGCAAACCCAACTTGGTTCTTCTCATTCCTACACAGCAATCCCCCCACCTCACCTTCTCCCAAAGATGCTGATAATGTGGCTGCCGAACTTACCTGGGCGTAGTGTCCCGCCCGAAGTTAGCCCATCTCCGCACCCCACCATCCCCATTCTGTCACTCCACCACTACCTCTGCGCGCCCTTTCTGTCCTCCACGATTTCACCTTCCCCGAGCTTCCTCTACTTCCAGGGCCCCTGCACTTGGGTCGGGGGACCCGTGGGCTCAAGGATCTCCGCCTGCTAGGAACTCAGCTCCCCCTCTGTGGTCTGCCTTCCGGGAACTACTCAAACAGCTTCCCCACACACACTTTCAACTCTTATCCCACCTTGGCTTTTGAGAATGTATGGGCCGCTTCGAATCCTCTGCTTTGTGTGCGCCAAACTTTTTTTTTCTCTTCTCTTCTCTTCTTTTCTCTTTCTTCTCTCTCTCTCTCTCTCTCTCTCTCTCTCTCTTTCTCTCTCTCTCTCTTTCTCTGCGTCTCCTCTTCATATCTCTCTTCTCTTTATCTCTCTCTCTCTGTCCCCTCTTCATAGCTCTCTCTTCTCTTCATCTTTCTATCTCTCTCTCTTTTCTCTCTCTTTTCTTTCTCTCCTCTCTCTCTCTTTTTCCTTCTCTCTCATTCTCCCTTTCTTTCCTTAATCCCTGGGTTTTATACGTTGAACATTAGAAAATTCTCTGCAATTTGGGATTAGACAAATACTCTCATTACAAAAAAAAAAAGTCAGTGCTACTTGATACCTCCAGACTTTCAGAGAGCTGATCACATCATCTGGAGCTAAGAACAGAAGAAGGAGCCCCAAGCTCCGAGCTGTTGCAGCTGGGTCGGGGGAGGGGAAGACATTCCAATAGACTTTGGAGCGGCACAGCACCCATTTCTGCTGCTCACCACCCTGTCCTGAGCTCACATGATGAAATCTTTGGGACTAATTATTAGAAAAGCTAGTCCTTGAGGAGGAGGGGAAAGAAAATATAGAATTTAGATCTGGAAAGGACTGAGGGTGGAGGGCGGGAATGGAGATGGAGGTAGATTCGTTTTGTGATAGGTAATACACACATGCATACATGTTCGGAGGTGATGTTCGAGTAATGTCAAAGCTTAGGTGTTTACGGATACAATACACACAAACACACTTATACAAAGGCACACATTTCCCATCGTGGGAGAGCTCAATTGCCTCGGACCTGGCTTATTTCACTAGTAGACTGGAAGCTTTATTTGGATTCTATCTTTAATGCCAGTCAACAGCTCTTTGTCTCCTAATTTCTTACAAAGACTGAGGTGGCTAAATTTAGACAGTAACCGAGGCATCCCGGGTGGGTCGGGGATTACCACAAGGTGTGTTGTGTTTCATTGTGGCTATAAAAGAGTTTGTTTTTCCTTTTCTCTTTTTTTTGTTGTTCTCTCTCTCTTTCTCTCCCTCTCTTTTCCTCTCTTTTTTCTCTTCTCTCCTCTCTTCCTTCTCTCTTCTTTTCTCTCTTTGTCTCTTTTTCAGTCTCCTCCCACTCCTTCTACTCTCACTTCTTCTTCTTCTTCTCTCTCCCTCTTTTTTGTGAGTGTGAATGGATTGCGGCTTCTTTGTTCCGTAGAGAAGTGCCCGTGTCGCTGACTTTTGTGAACTAGAGAAGGATCTTGTAAAACCTCCTTTTCTCCTCTCCCCCCATCCCACCCTCTCCGCCCCTGCTCCTTTGATTAGATGTCCCCTCATCGTCCCCCAAAAAATGTAATTTTGTTGGTCTGGCGGTCACTTTCTTTGAACATTAGCTCGCTTTCAGTTCCAACTTCAATTAGAAGGAGTTGATTTTGAGGGATCAACAAAAGAACCGACCAAAGCCTTATTAAAGGTCCTAAGAAGATCTCCCGGATCCTTTGAGAAGCAGTTAAGGAAACAGTGTGCCCTCCATGATATTCTGTTACCGTATTTTATAAGAACTCCAAAGGAAAGTGTCTCCTGAAGAAAAAAAAAAAAGTACTTACTTTGATATGTGACTACTGGCCCTTCCTAGCCCCTTTCCATTCAGAATCATTATCGTCACCATCGTGATCATGTCTAGAGTCATTTGAATTTTCATATTTCTAGGATGGAGTGATTGTTAACCACGGTGATGAGGACGATGATAATGGCGATGAATTGGGGTTTTCCTTTTCCCGTTATTGGACTTTCTCCTAAAACTTTTATTCTCTGGTTATTCTGAAGGAAAATTGGAAGGGAAGGTTAGTAATTCCTCGAAGGGGATTAAACCCTTCATTAATATTTATGAGAAGGTGCGACCTAAAAAAAAATATGTCTCCCGGAGTTGAGGGCGAAAACACTAATTTGAGCTTTGAAAAGTCCACCCACTTTGTACTCCGTTTTTGGAGTTTATTTGTTCGAATCGGAAATGATCTTCACCTTCGAGAGTACGGATCATCCGGGAATTTTTTTTTTCCAAAGCTTCTCCGCAGCATATGAGAAAGAAACTGAAAGGAGGGGAAGGAGCCCCGGGCAAAGTTGCCAACTCGTTTGTTTGGCCCTTAGAAATTAAGAGGGGTGGGAGAGTAGGGGACTGTAGGCAGGGGCCTCCCTTTTCTGTCCTCCAGGTTTTTTCAGAGCGAGAGAAGTGGGGGCGGGGGGAGACAGAGACACAGAAAGATACAGAGAAAGAAAAGACAAAAACAGTCACTGACAGAGAGAAGGAATAAGAAATGGAACCAATATGACTTGGGAAGCTTCAAGGGCTTGGCAAAATGCAACGAACGCGAGGAGCGCTCGAGCCGGATTGGGAGGGATCCGGGAAGCCGGGCTACTAGCCGCTTCTTGCTGCTCCCGAGGGCTGCGCGCCTAGTCTTGGAGCGATTGGGGTGGGGGTGGGGGGCGACGGGGGACGCGGCGGCTAGGGAAGGGGGAGCGCAGCAGCTCCAAGTGTGACGGTGCGGCGCTTTGCAAAGTTCCCTCACAAGCACAGAGTTTCCCAAGGGTTCTGCCGGGGAGTGCTGACTTGGAAAGGCCAGGGACGGACCCGAGCTACGGGAGGAGAAGGAATGAGATGCGAAATCCTCGACCCCAACGGCTCCCTGCGCATAGAAAAGGCTCGGACACCGTTGCAGCCTCCAAGGAGGACAGCTGGGTCGAAGGTGGGCTCCTGGAAGAGTGAGCGAGCCGCACTACTTTTCCCCCTCACCTTCCTTCTGCTACTCCCAAATAGGAGAGCTGGGATGGTAGGGAGAGGGAGTGCGGGGGACCTTGAAGAGCTCAAAGTGTGGACACAGGTTCTCCAGGAACCTGGCTATTTGGGAGGCACAGCACTCGTCTTCTCTGTACTGCGTTTTCAGAGATCTCGGGAGTTAGTGCGCCGCCAAGGCCGGGCCGGCTGAGGCAGGGAAGGGAGGGAGAGAGGGGGTGAGGGGGAAGGGAAGAGGGAGGAGGAGAGGAAGGCAGGGGGTGGGGGAGGGGCGGGGGCGCGCAGAGGTAACCCCCGGCTCGAACTGCCATTGCCCGGCCCTCTGTCACTCAGCCAGTGCTGGGCCCAGGATTGGCGGCCCAGCCCCGTTACGCAGTTGCCTGGCGTTCACATACTCGGGGAGGGCAGTAGAAAGGTGATCAATCTTCATCAGGCTACATTTCCAATCACCTAAACAACCGAGCAAGACAGCCACTTCGACAAGGTAAATCGCTTGATTTATTTAGTTTGCAAAGTGCCTCTGCAGACTTTTCCTAAACCCCCACCACCCACCCCTTACTTCCCTGACTCATTTCTAGTGCAGATGCAGCAGCAATCAGCTTCCCCTTGAGTTCCCCCTCACCCCTAAATATCCCCCCTCAACAAAGTCAGGGGCGATGCAATGATCTGAAAGGGTGTGATGTTTCCACAAAATAAAGTTTAAACCTAAAGAGCCATCCAGAAAAACATAGAGAGAGGAAACTGGAAAGGCAGATAAAAGGGGGAAAGGGAAAAGGGAACGGGGGAGGTAGAAAATCTGGGGAGGATAGCCAAACCGTCCTGCCCAGCTAGTAACTTCCTCGGTCCCCTCGGTTTTTACAGGTTTACGGCCAGAGGCCCGGGCTCTTCTCTCTCATGCGCCTGAATTACCTGGTTATCCGCCCCAGAAGCTGAGTGCAGGTAAGGAGCGAAAGTTGCGGGGCCAAAATGGGATCGCCGAAGCCAAATGAGAGTGCGCCTGCAGCAGCAGCAGCAGCAGGCGCCGCCGCCGCTGGCTCCACCACCACCGCCCCCTCCCCAGCTGAGGCCCCCAGCTCCCGGCACTCCTCTGTGTTGTATGCCTCAGGGCAGGGGAGGAACTCGAGAGGCAGAAGCCCCGCTCCCTAGGCTGTGCTGGTGATCCTGGGGCACAGCTGCCGACGTCTGACCCCTTACTCCTTACACACCCCCGCCTCCTTCGAAGTAGCCTAGGCTTAGAGCTAAGTTTGGAGAAAGTCTTTCTAACTTGGAACTGTGGCTGAGTGGAAACCTGTTACCACTTCACACTCTAGCCCCAGTCCATAGCCCTCTTATCCCTATCCCTCCGGGGCTCCTAGCCCCTTCCTCTTCGACCTCCTACCGCGATGTGAGGGGGGGGGTCAGGGCTGGGGGACCGTGGGGTAGGAGGGCGGCGCTCTGCCAGGCCTTGCATCTCCCCTAGAACTACGAACCCTGGTCGGCCTTCTCCCCCATACAGCCTAACCAGCCCTCCCCACTTACCCCCACCCCGCCTCCACTCCCAGCGACTGGATCCCCAGTGCCTCCCCGAGAACCAGGTGGAGCGACTGCGGCTCTGGAGCTCGCAGCCCCTCGGGAACTCTGGGGCTCGATGCCTGATTCCTATCACCCACTCTTCTCTCAAGACACCTTGTCTTGGAGACCCTCAAATTCCTGACAGCCAGGGAAGTGGCAAAGAGAGATTGCAGTCCCAGCCAGGTGTCGGATTGTTCGCCGCTGGAGGCCTAGCTCCCGAAATTTCACCCTACTTTGTGGCCAGGACGCGGTGTGAGAGCTAACTGAAGGTCGGAAAGCTTTAGGCCTTCCCACCCATTCCACTCGTACCAGGAGCTTCTTAGACCGCTACGCAGGCCCCCTAAGAACCAAAGTTCCACCTTCTGTAATGCTTACCAGCCAAGAACCGATTACAAAAGGGCCAGGATGGGCCTTCAGAAGCGGGCTGCGCTGGGAGGGAAGAGTCCTCCCAGAACTGAGGGGGGGAAATCTTCCTTGGACTTCTGACCCTGTACCGCGCCCAGCCAACCGCTTTTACTGCTCTTCGAGCTTCAGCCAGCATCAGGGTCTGGAACTGGGCCCAGGGAGGGCAACTACCTTCGGAGTTTGCTAGAATGTCGAGGAAGTGTTTCTTCTAGGACTCCGGCTAAGAAATGGTTTCGAGGCGGGGATAGAGGGGAAGAGGTTAGGAACTGACCCTTGGTAGAATTTATGAAATCGATCTGAGGAGGTGGTGCCTCCGGCCTCAGGACCCTGGAGAAGAGCCGTTGCTCTTGTCCCAAAGGTTTTCCGACAGGTCTGCCTGGGTGTGGACTCAGCTTGGTTGAAATACCCCCCAACCCCCACTCCCTGGGTTCTAGCCTGCCCCCTCCCCACCCCTGCCCCTTTAAACAAATTTTTAAATGAAAGAAACAACAGCCACTCCCTCACAGCCTCAGGCCGAACCTTTCCAGAGCGAATCTTCATTTTTGCAGCCAGAGGCCCAGCTCCTCAAGCAGCTCCCTCACCTCCCCCAGCCAGCTTTTCTACGCTGGTATTTTTGGTTCGTTGCCCATCGACCGCCTGAAGGCCAGGATCTCCCCATACCCACCTTGGTTCTCCCCCACTTCCAGAATCCAAAAGTTCCCTTTTTTCCTGAGCTTTTGTCGTAGCTTAAAAGCAGAGGAAGAAAAGCTAGAAAAGTTTATTAGTAAAAGTAAGCAGCACTGCCTGATACAGCCAGGCCTAGTTTTCAAAGTAGTGAAACTAGCTGTACTGGCCGACCTGCCCATAGCTACAGCCCCCAAACCATCTTTTACTAATTTCCCTAGACCTTGCCCAACCAGCCGGCTTACCCAGTGTCTGGGCAGGGGAACCCTGAAGCTGTCCCAGTTGCTACAAGCTATCAATTTCCTGTCTTGTGTCCTCAGAGGCCCTGGGCCCACGAACCTATCGGAGCCTCTCCTGACATTTGGAACTTCGCTGTGAGATTCTCCAGCCGGTGACTGGCCCCCACTGGATCCTTCGGGGCCCCACTATCCGGCTGTTAGCATGATGTCTTACCTCAAACAACCCCCCTACGGCATGAATGGGCTGGGCCTCGCAGGGCCAGCCATGGATCTGCTGCATCCGTCAGTGGGATATCCGGGTGAGCAATGCTGAACCTGACCTACCTGGGCTAAGATTCACTTTCCTTTGGGTCTCCACCCCCCACTCCCATTCTAGACCCACCTGTTCTAGTACTAGAGGTCTTGATGACTTAAGAACCACAGGGTACACACAGGATTGCTGAGTGGGGTTTATATAATATGCAATTTAAAGCACACTCTCCGGATCTCCCTAAGATCAGGGGACTTAGGTGAAACTTTCCAGTGGTTTCTGTTAGCAGCTGGAGAGAATAAGCTCTGGATATGCCATGCAGTGGAATACAAGCAGGAAACAGGGAACATGCACTGTCATGTTAAGTGCTTGATACAAGACAACATACATATAAAATGTTGCACACTGTATGCCAAACTTCTGATGCAGCATATGGATTACTTCTCCAGGGGTGATCCGATTTTATTGATTTATAAGTTTTACACTAAATTGGATAGCTAGGGGATGGGGAAGTGTCTTTGGTTTAGATTTTGGAGGGTTGATCTAGAAGCAAGAATTGTCAGTACAGAAAGAAGTCCTGGCTGGTTGAGGGAAGGGGACTACTGCCTCCAGTCTTAACTTGTTCTGGACCCTGGGCCCCTTTCTTCACACAAATTCATTTTGTTCGGGAAGTTGATGGCTGGGGGAGAAGCTGCCTGAGAAGGATTCTAAATTCTCTAATTCCAATTTGTTTCTTTTCTTGAGTCCTCCACCCCAAAAACAAACAAACAAAAATCTGAGAGCTTCTGTCCCTATAAGAGATTCAAGTGTGTGGAGACTAAGTGTACTAATGATTTATGGAAGAAGGGAGAGAGAATATTAGTTTATCTTTTTCTCTTTTTTAATACATGAAGCATAGTAAGAGCAAGGAAAAAATACCTTGCAAACTTTAGCCTTCTTATAGCACATACCACCTCCTCCTGTCCCCACCCACCCATATCCAATTAGCATGCACCAGTTCTCACATACACTGGACTTTCTCACATCTATGGCCATTTTGTCCCAGACCTTGGAAAGAAGAGAACCTGAGTTTCTCCTTTTAGGTAGCGCAGGGACAGTGGAAACAGCTGCTTCCTCACTTCAAGACCTTTCTCCACCACCACCCCCCCAAACACACAGATAATGACTTCTTCATTTTCTGTCTTTTCTTCCTGCTTCATTATCCCTACCCCCCTTCTCCCCCCAAAAAGAGAAAGTCTCCTCTACTGTTACTCGAAAGCACTCTCTGTATAGTATTCTTATTCTCCCCATCAGCTCCAACTGTCAAGGGCTGAGGTCTAGGTGAGGCTCAGGCTTGGGAAAACTAATACACGTGTCTCCCTTGCACAGCTACCCCTCGGAAGCAGCGACGAGAAAGAACCACCTTCACACGTTCACAGCTGGATGTACTGGAGGCACTTTTTGCCAAGACTAGATATCCAGACATTTTCATGAGAGAGGAGGTGGCCCTTAAGATCAACTTACCAGAGTCCAGAGTCCAGGTTGGAATTTCCTCAACCCAGGATACTGGGATGGAGTGGGGAAAAGGGCAAGGGGCTTGGGAAAGATTGCTATAGCCAGGTTCCTCCACAATCTGCTTCGGAGCTCTGTGTAGAAGCCAAGGCTGTCTTGGGACAACACACAGATGGGCTTATCGTGGTTTTGGCCTGGCTGTGGCTTAGAATCTTGTCTTTTAATTTCTTTGCAATGAGGGAACCTGGTGGGTAGAAAGGAAAAGTTTAAGGACAGGATTATTTGTCCTAGAATTTGGACTTAGAGGTGGGGAAAATGAGGTGATGTGGATTTGTGTTGTCTCCCCTTAGCTCTGGGCCAGGACCCTAAAGGGAGAAAAATTAAAGGAATTTTCTCAGCAGACTCTTGACACTGCCTCCCTACTTGGTGCTGAAAGCACTTTTTAGGATGGAGGAGAGGAGAAGATTCTGGAAGCTAAAGGCTTCCTTTCTATATTCTATATTATCTTCTAATTTTCCTATTTCCTTTGGGTCCTAAATTTTGCCTCTACCTCAGTCCCTGTGATACTGGAACAGGGAAAAATGAAGTTATATGGAGGATAAGGAAAACTCAGAATTGTATTAGATTGCAGAGGAAGATCTGGGTGGGTTTAAACTTTTGGTTCAATTTGGGTTTGTTTTCCTTTTTTTTATTCTCACTGGAATGATCCACTGAAAAAAATGACTCCACAAACTACACTTATTTTTGTTTTATTTATATTTCCATTATTGAAATTGGATTAGCCTAGGAAATAACCAAGTTTTGAAACTAACCTGGGACTAACAGAAGATTTAGAACTTTGTTCTGTGTTTTTTTTTTTCTTTTCTTTCCAGTGGTGTTGGAAAGAGAAAGGAAATTAGAATTGTATTGTTAGCGGGGCAGTGGACTTTCGATTCTGGAGTGTGGTGCTCTTAACTTGTAGCAGATACCTAATGAAATCCCATCCAGATTTTCTTTCTACATTTTCTGGGGTTGATCTTCATTTGCACTTGTGAACCTGCTCCTTCTCTGGTTCCTCATTTAATGGCTTCTACAGGGCCCTAACTCCAATCTAACCTCACAAATTTTATAAAAAACACACACTGGATACTGTGATCTACTTTTCCACATATCTACTTCTCTATTACTAACTGGTCCTCTTATTTTAAAGTGGTGAACTTTTGAGTAACATCTAATGGGGTGCTAAAAATTATTAGGAGCTTTGAGAATCGCTGCCCACTTTCCAAGACAGACAGGAAGTCTAAATCCCACCCACCCTTGTCCTGGGCTCTTTCTCTCTAGTAGCCTTTTGAGTATCTTATAATGGTGCTCTGAAAGTAGGATTGACCTTAGCAATGTCCAGTTCCTTGGGGAAATATTGAGAATTTGGGGTTGGATTTCCACTGCTCTGTGAACTGGGTACAAGAAGTATCCAGTAGTTAGCGGTAGAGAAGAATTGGGAAACAGGTAAGGGAGAAATGGGGGGGGGGTTAGAAGGGTGATTTTGGTGATGAGAAAGAAGCAGGGATGTTACCTGGGGAAGGAGACTGGTAAGGATGCTCCTGGGTGTGATTAGAAAAAGCTGGAGAATGGATGGGTTAATGAGTGTGGACAAGAACCAAAGGTGAAATATTTTGTAGGAGACGGGGAAGAAAAGTGAGGGGAGAAAGAGGAAATTGTGCTGAACCTTGTAATCTAACATATTTCTATTCTCCATGCTCCTGTTTAGGTATGGTTCAAAAACCGGCGGGCTAAATGCCGACAGCAGCAGCAGAGTGGAAGTGGGGCCAAAAGCCGCCCAACTAAGAAAAAGTCTTCACCTGCTCGTGAGAGCTCAGGTTCGGAAAGCAGCGGCCAGTTCACACCACCTGCTGTGTCTAGTTCTGCCTCATCCTCCAGCTCTGCTTCTAACTCATCTGGAAACCCTGCAGCAGCAGTAGCAGCCCTGGGAGGAAACCCTGCAGCAGTGGCCGCAGCAGCTGCAGCTTCGTCCCTGAGCACTCCTGCTGCCTCCTCCATCTGGAGCCCTGCCTCTATCTCCCCAGGCTCAGGTCCCTCCTCTGTCTCTGTTCCAGAACCTTTGCCAGCACCCAGCAACACATCCTGTATGCAACGCTCTGTGGCCGCAGGAGCGGCTTCAGCTGCAGCTGCTTCCTATCCTATGTCGTATGGTCAAGGTGGTGGCTACAGCCAAGGTTACCCTGCGCCTTCCTCTTCTTACTTCGGTGGTGTGGACTGCAGCTCCTACCTGGCACCGATGCACTCACACCATCACCCGCATCAGCTTAGCCCCATGACCCCTTCATCCATGTCTGGTCATCACCACCACCACCACCCTCACCACCCATTAAGCCAGTCTTCCAGTCATCACCATCACCACCACCATCACCACCACCAGGGTTATGGCAGCACGGGGCTTGCCTTTAACTCCTCAGAATGCCTAGATTACAAGGAACCTGGGGCCACTGCAGCCTCTTCAGCCTGGAAAATCAACTTCAATTCCCCCGACTGTCTGGACTATAAGGACCAGGCCTCTTGGAGGTTCCAAGTCTTGTGAGAGAGAGAGAGAGAGAGACAGAGAGAGAGGGAGAGGGAGACTGAGTGAGAGAGAAGACCGGTGAAGAAGAAAGAGTAAATTATTTGCCAATTCTACCATCTCCCTTCCAGCCCTGCTACTGCTGTTCCTCCTTTCTTTGACCTCTCCAAAACGCTATGCTCCATTGTTCCAAAAAGATCCCCATGCTCTTCGTTGTCCTCCCCCTCCCCCTTTGACTCTGGATGCCACCTGCCTCACAGGGATGTTTAAACTTGCAGCTCTTGCGAGAAGGGACACCTGTCTCCACCATGCTCACCTGTAACCTGCTGGGCAGGAATTGCTGTTGCCCCTTACGCTCCTGCTATGTCCCTAAATCTCCCTTCCATTCTTTCTGGCCGTGCAACTACATACTCCCAGACTTCCAAGACTATTGGTCCTGACCCACTGCTTGAACCCAATCAGTTTATTTATTGTGTCTGGACACTGGGATTATAAACTGGTGCTTCTACAGTACGAAGAGGATTTAGCAGCCACTCCAGCCAAACACCACCACCAACGAAAGTGCATAGGGGACACAAACTTCCCTGCAACTGCCCTCTCCTACTCTGTTCCCAGACTGCTGGCTACTCCCTCCCTCTACTTTACTTCTCTACTCTGCCCGGGCTTGTGAATTCGAGTTAAGGGCCTGGGAGCCTGGACGTTTTGGGACTAAGTCAGTGGCTGTATCTAGTCAAAGTGGTAAAGCCCCGCCTCCCCCTGCCCCTCCCTTCCTCTGGCCAGCGGCTCTGGTTTGGGATTCTGCCGCAGCAGAGCGGTGGGAATGGTGTAAATATTCAGGTCCGTTCCGGGGACCACTTATTCTTTTTAGTTGCTGTTTATTGAATTGAACCTATCTTGAGTCTTAACACCCAGGAAACAGATCTTTAAGATATATACTGCATATATATAAATATAAATATAAATATATATATAAAAGGAAAGCAAAAAAAAAAAATCCCTGTTACCTCCCTTCCTCTTCCCCAAATGGTGATGCTTTCAAGTGTCCAGTTATTACAATACTATCTTACTCCCTCCCTTTCTACCCTTTGGTGTATTTATTAAAAGAGAATCAATGGTCCCAGGGAAGCAGGATGGGGCGGAGCTTGAGGTCCAGATGGTGAGGGGAAAAGTGATCTAAGTTTTGGGAGCTCAGACGGGTGGAAAGATCGGAGGGGAAGAAAAGACAGAGGACAGCGGGTTGGATGGGAAGACCTCAGCTAAGGTGAGGCTCCCGGTCCCAGGTTAAAGACCAAAAACTAAAAACCAAACCAAAAAAAAAAAGAAAAAGAAACCCGACAAGGAAAAAAAAAGAAAAAAGACCAGAACCAAAACCTCAGTTCCGATTCATCTCTCTCTCTTTTAGAAAACTGTTTTGTCTAGTGAGTTTTAGTGCACCTTCATTTCTATAAAGATCTGGCCAAGAGCACTCGGCGCCTGTGTTATCAGTTATGGTCTTGGCCGCTTGTCCCATAGCAGGAAAAGAAAATTGTAAATTTGATTTGTCCGACGTGAAGACCACAAATTACCTGTTGAAATGTAAGGCAGTTTTACTTCCCCTCCCCTTTATCTACATTATTCCCCAATAATAAAATTCAAACTAATGAAGCACTTCTCAGTGTTGCTCTTCTCTGGGTTCCCCGTTTCTGGGCTCCCCTTTCTCAAGTGCAAGCAATCATCTTCCAGTTTGCCAGAAAGGGTCGGGGAGGGAGGAAATGGGAAGTCCTTAGCCCTGAAACGAGCTTTTTTTTTTTTTTTTTTTTGTAGCTGTTATCTATCTGGTCCTCAACAGACTTCACAACTTAAAACAGGCCTGTAGACACGACGGTAGAGCTCCCCCAACCTCTATCCCCGGTTTTGGAAATAAGGCGGGGGCTAGTAATTAGAATCCCTAAAACCAGTCGTTTTGCTTTGGAGCCAGTAGACTGCCTTTGACTTCTCCACCTAATTGTATTGAAAAGAAAAGAAAGGAAAGGAAAGTGGATTGGGAGATAGAAGAACGAATCTCCCTTTAGGAGAGAGAGAGAGAGAGAGAGAGAGAGAGAGAGAGAGAGAGAGAAGAGAGAACAAAACAAACAGAAAAAAAAATGTTTTTAATTTTGGCAGCGGAAAACCTCTTTTACTTCTCAATCCAAAGGGCTTCCCTAGTATGGAGCCGAAATAGGCTGTTACTTCCAATTAGTGGTTCTTCTAAACCCCCAAAGCCCAACAAGGGCAAAGGATTTAGGACTAAAACAAATTATTTTTATTCAAGTTTAAAAGTGGATTGTATGCGCGTGCCTGGATTTTGTTTCGCTTTAAAACAACAATAACACCAACGATAGGGCCAGGAAGCTGATCCCAACGATTTCCACTTCACTTGGTCGCTGAACTTAGATAAGATAGAGGGGCACAGTAAGCTTTAGTGCCCTGGTTTACAAAGTGGAAAAGCATAAAGAATAATACTATTCTTCCTTTCTGTGCGACGAGGGGACACAGGGGCCACTGCTCCCCTCAAACAATACAAAATAGAAACCGAAGTTACCCACGCCTGGTAAAACTTGTCTCCGGGTCAGTTTCTCCTGGGTGTGGAGGCAGGAGAAAAATTCGCAGTGAGAGAGGCCTGAAAGTTGCGGCGCTTGTCGGAAGAGGGAAAGGAAACGAAGTTTGCTGCGAAATGACCAACTTTTTCTATTCTTTATTTCTGTGAGAAAGCTCAAGAACGTCGCGTGTTGCCAGGTTTAGAAGAAAGTTTCCCCTCCCCCCCAAGGGCCTTGTGGCCTAAAGAATTAGCCTGGCTTTCTTGTTCTCGCGGACCTAATCCTTCGAACCACAGTATCTTCGTTCCAGTCTTTTGCAGATCCGGGTCGGGTCCTGCGAACACAGTCCCATCTTCGCAAATTAGTTACTGATTACTTGAGAACATCTTACCTATTTTTCATCTTTAAACAAACCGGATCGCTCGGCTCGGATGGGTAAATCCCCAGAAAGGTGGGAGCGGAGGGAGGGGAGGGAGGTCAGGGTCGGCTCACCTCCTTTCTTGGCTCTTGGCCCTTTCTCTTCCTGCCCATCCAACCCATCCCACAAGCAAAACCAGGCTGTGACAATCCAGAGTCCTACCCGGAGGCCCCCAGAAAACTTACGAGAGGCCAAACAGTAACAGCAGCGGCAGCTGCAGGCTGCTGCGGAGGAGGCGGAGACCGTGGCAGTAACAGCTGCAGCAACACCCATAGGAGCTGCAGTAACAGCTGCAGCAACACCCATAGGAGCTGCAGCAACACCTAAAGCACCCGCAGCACCTACAGCTCCCCCCCACCCCCGCTGGTGAAATCAGTCCCACCCTCAGGCCAAACCTTGGGCTCCGCCCTCCAGGAAGGTGGTCAGAGCTCCTCCTGGGAGTTCCCGGGACGCGGACTTAAGTGTGGAGAGACGCGCACGGAGGCACAAGTTGGCAAACATGTCCCGGTTATCTCCAGACACGCGGGGTGCCAGGACACTTGCCTCAGAGGAGCCCGGGAAGGTTCCATGACCACCTGGGCGAAAGTCCTGCCTGCACCCGGGAGACCTAAGGGGAAGTTCTCTCAGGGCTCCGTGCCTCGGTGCCGCGCGGTTAGTCCAGGCAAACATCTTGCGGCCGCCAGTACCCCGGGACAACCGGAGGAGACCGAGCCCCGGATTCCTGCCTCTCCACTGCCGCCCGTCGGGCCCTGACGTCCGCTCTCTGCCACTGTGCGGTTCTTGTGGGGGCTGGCTGGCCAGAGGGGAGCTTCCCACCGTCCGTAGACCCCTGGGTGTCCTGGCGTCGTTCCACGTTCTTGACGCCTCCGCTTGCTCCCTCCTCTGGGACTCTCGAGATGAAATCCCTCAGGGGCCTGGTGCCAGTCAACAGGCCTGAAGGTGGATGCAGAGCGGAGCTTTAAATCAGGGGTGCTCAAAGCCCACCCCTCCCCCCACCCCCAATGCTGTCCCGGGCCACTGCGAGGTGTCTCCTGGGGACTGGGCTAGGGATGAGGCACCCAAGGCGTCTCACTGCGCTCAGCCAGTGTGCCTAGGCTGGGTGGGGTGTTGGTGGTACAACCGGCTCCGGGGTAGGGGCGGAGCCGGCTGGCGCTAGCGGTCCGGCCCACCTAGTCAGCCCTGACGTGACCGGGGGCTCGGTGCGGTGTGGCAAGGGATAGTGCCGGGGCGACAAACAGGTAGAACTACAGCGGGAACGGTTTCCCCACAGGAAGGAAGGAGGCCCCACCGTCCCCACGGTTGGCGAGGCCTGGAGCCACACCGCGCACAGCACGTGCTTTTCTCTCGTTTCGGAGCCTCCGCCGTAAAAGCCACCGGGGTTCCTTCCCAGTCGCCGGTCCGGTCCAGGCGCCTGGCCTCCCCTTCTGGTATAGCTAGGGTCTGCACCGGCGAAGGGAAGAAGAACCAGCTGTTTCGTGGGTACCGCGTGCCTGAGAGGGAAAGGAAGACCCTGTAGGGGCGCTACCAAGAGAACGTAGCGCGCACCAGGCTCGAGGGAGTGCGACCGAGGGCACCGCGAACGCTGCCGGCCAATAGTCATTGGGCTGGGAAAGGTGGTGGGAGACAATCCCCCCTCCCCCTTCCCCATCCCTTTCCTCTTCTCCCCTTCCAGGCTTCTGGCCCTAGCGAACACACTCAGGCCGGCCAAAGCCGGCGAGCGACCCCGGGAGGTTTTGCCACTAATTGGCCGGAGTGGGAAAGTAGGGACTAGTTGTGGGTGCAGACACTGCTCCGAAGTAGTAGGCTTTTGTAACGGTCTGTGAGTTTGTTGCACACTCATCTCACCGGGGAGAGGAACGTATTCTCCCGTCCCGGTTCAACCCAAGCATCCACATACACTTCCAGACACGCGGAAATCCCAGGCTTTGAACTCGCAACGAAATCTTCCCGTAGCCGGCATCGAGCGGCTTAGGGCTCACTGAGTCACACGCGAGAAAGAAGAATGTTTTTAAAGGCATAAAATAAAATTCTTAGGATTACCAAGAAGACCATATACTGAAATAGTTATCAAAATCTTAAAAAAAAAAAAAAGTTCACAGTACCCAGCTTAAGAACTCTTGATTAAGGAAAACTGATTGAGGAAGGAAAGAATTTGAGGCACCTCACAATTGAGAGGAGTTCATTTTCTACATCTAATGAAATCTGACTTTAAAAAAATGTTGAAGATAACCTTTTGGAGTAAAGTAATAGATACTTCCACAATAACATAACAGTTCTTCAAATAGTAAGGTGCTTTTACAATTTATGAAAATAAAAAAATCACTACTCACCCTTGCAAATTGAGTTAATTTTGAAGATTTCTTTAATCACTGACAGGCATTAATTTTAATTGCAGAGATAAAGAAATGATGAAAGTAATAAATGTATGCATTGCACATAAGTTTATAACATTACAAGACAATTAGTTCTAAATCAATCGTAAATGCATTTCTGCAATAGTTAAAATATCTTTGTTATTTAATTAACAGCTACACAGAAGTTCTACTATCTATACTACAGTCTCACATTTACACCTGGTGAGAAATGGTGAATGGGAAATTCTAAACAGTTTAGGTTTCTGACAAAATAGACTCATATTTAAGAAAAAAAACTGCCAAAAATAAACACCAACAATCAAAAATAGAATAAAACAAAACACCAACTATAAAGAATAGAACAAATTGATGAAGCAATATATATATATAGTTATTCTACCAGTAGCAAACCACCCAACCATCTTATATGAGAATCTATTCAGTTTAAATGTATAGATATTGAAAATGTTTATTTGTAAATCAAATTTTGTTTATTTTGATAGTGTCAAGAAGAAGCTGTTGAGTAGATAAAAATTTATAAATTAAGGCAAGTGCCATAATCTTTCTGTCCAATCTTTAACACCTACTTGAAAGAATGTAAAACTATGTCTTTAAGGGGAAAGCACACCTTACTTTGATCTGATATTAATTAATGAGTCTATAAAAATAAGTTCAATTTTACATAAAACGTGTGAGAGGCAGTCACCTGAAAAGTTGGAATAGAAAAGTCAGAAATATTTATCCCAAAAACTTCAGTAATTCATATCTTGCTTTGATGAGTTCTGTAGATGAAATTGCTTTTTAACCATTAATATTTCACCAAGATTTTTAGAGGAGAAAATAAAACTAGAAGTTATTAATTTTTCCAAATATAATGTATACCCCTCTTATTTATGCAGTCACACATGTTAACACACTGAATTTTCTAGTGCTGTCTATGTAAAGGTATGCAGATGTTTTAAAAGCTATTTTAGACCTTGTTCCTCCTAAGCATAGAATTAACCAATCAAATGGAAATTGGAATTTTGATAATCAGTTATGACGTATAAAAATGTGGACACGGTAAATTTATGGTTAATTTTTTTTAAACTTTATTTGTTACCTGAAATAGTTTGGGGGTGGGCTGGGAATACACATTAAAAAATCAAATAACTGAAGATTACAACATCTCTCTTTTTAGAGGCTGGTGAGAAATGAAATCTTAAGAAAAGATTTTAAATGGATTTTTTTAAGTGCAAGTTTGATTGTTAGAGATGTCTCCACCATCTCCAAAAGAAAATCAATCAATAAGCATTCATTAAGTGCCTACTATGTTCTAGG